GTTCAGAATATACTGGTACTGCTTTAAGAACCTTAGAAAGATTCACTTGGCCTAAAAATGGTTGAGTAAGTTATCCAGAAAAGAATTGACTTGAAATTGGAAGAGTTGTTTTTAGCAATGAATTCACTCCTGAAAATATTGTGAAAAGTTTTTCTAGGAAAGCACAAACTATGAAGAGGCTTTTAGTTTTACTTATCAAGAAAAAAAGAATTAGAAACAAAGATAGAAGAGTCAGAGGATGCAGTGGAAATGGAGTGAGAAGAAGCTGAAAAGACACTGGATGCAGCTATGAGGTGAAGAAAGTGCCAAATGTCTGAAACAGTGTTAAAGCACAATGCTGCAATGGGCAAGCTTATAGATTAAATAAAGTGATTAGAAAATAATTTGTCAAATAAAGATCAAGAAATAAGCAGAAGAGATTATTTAGCAACCAAAGAATTACCAGCTTTATCTAAAAAACAGAAAGGAAATAGATTATGCAAACTCAAAAAATTAGTAAGCAAAGCCAAAGAAAAGACTAAGGAGAAATTCCAAACTTTAATTATTCAAAATAATAAGTAAATTATATGAGATTAGAATATAAAATTCTAAAAATAGCAAAGGATGACTCTCTTTAACTTTGATACCAATACTGTTCTTGCTACTCATCAAATGGTAGTCACAATACTCCTGATAAACAAAAACAATTATTTAGATTTTTTGCTTTATATTTCTTCAAGTTTTCTTTTCATCATAAGTTGGAGTTAATGCTCGTTTATTTATTATTTTTCGTTTCTCTTGATAAATTTCATAAGTAATTTTTTCTTTATCAAGATATTTCTCGAGAATTTTGGTATCATTGATTTAAAACATAAGAAGCAATTTTTTCTCCTTGTTCTTTCTTTAATATACTTCGAATAGTACTGTAATTCTTGGGTTCCATGGTGGATTTGATGTAAATTAATTTCATATATATTATTTTTATATAGACATAATTCTATATTAATATTAATCATGTTATAACTTCATATTCATTTCGGCCAATTTTAATGTTAGTTACATTTTGGCATGATGTTAATTTAAAACTGTAATTCCATATACTAATACGTTACACATGTGATAATCAGAATGTTATTAGTCAAATTAGTTACTTTCAGCCACATCAGCCTCTCATTTATATCACACATAATAGAATGTTCACTTTGTCTGGTTTTGTTGCAGCACGTCCATATAAGCAAATAGAACGTTCTACAAAATTATGTCGTAAAACGTTCTTTTATAAAGGTAATTTTACTAATAAATCAGATCCGTCCTATGATAAAATATTCTTCATGAGAGGTTGTTCCTTTATGGAGGTCTGACTGTATATGTGTTGATATATGGAATAGCCGTATTCAATATCTCTAAGAAAGTAAATCTTATAATAACTCTATCTATATTACACTACCTAAAAAATCTATTTTCCGAAATTCCCTCTCACAAACATCTTCGACCTATTGGCATTCTAGGCTTACTCTCAAAACTTGATTTTCCAACTCTATACGGCTTTGGCTTCTTCAATAACTCACTACCAATCCTTGCCGTTCGCCTGCTACTCACTACCAAATCACCATTCTAAGAAAACTTTTGTATTCCATAATACAAGTAATGAATTGGCTTTAATTGAAAAAAGCATTGTTTGGTGGTGGAAGAAGGACGGTGCAGTAACACTAGCGCATGGTACGCATGCAGCGATACAGCAGTGATACAAACGTATGCTGAGAATAATAGTTAAATAGCTGCTAAAAATAGATCAATTAGTCCGCTCGAAGATATATAAAAGTAGTGTAGAATTCAGTAGATAGAGTCAAGAGGTGCACGTTTAGAATGTTCTAATTACTCTCAATTCCTTTATTGTAAATAAATGAGTAATTCTTTATACTCTGAAATACATTGTTAATGATTCATTCCCCGGTAGCTTATCGGTATAGCTGAGAAACCGCTAATCCCTATATCGATGAAGAATAATCGCCTCTTGTCCTGCGATTATTCGAGTGGCAAATTACGATAATTAATTGTTATGTAGATGCGCATTATTATAATTGAAATACTATTGTACCTCAACGATAGACTAAGAATTAATCCCATCTTATATTATCGCAGAGAAGGTGATAGCAAGTTGAAGAGATAGAGATAAGAGGAAGATAAGAGTAGAGAGAAGAGAGAAGACATACTCATTATATAATTATTAGATATATAAAAATATATAAAAATATATATATAATTCAGCTGGAATGATCGACTGTATTATAGGGTTTCGAGGTTAGCACAGAGTGAATTTTTAATGGCGTAGAATTTCGATATGCTCTATTTTCTATTCTTGATGTACAATGTACTGACTATTCAATAATACACGTATTCTAATGACTTATCGAGAATCACGTGAATAAGCCTTTAATTAAACCTTTATTAATAATTGCATCGTAATAGTAAAATAACCCTGCAGACTTTTGAGTTGCTTATTCTTGTCTGACGTTGTAAATCTTTTATCCCTGATAGAACTATTTATTCGACTGCTGTTAAATGACATATTGTTGTATTCTACGCGTTGTCACGCGAGAAAAAAACCGTCTTATCGAGACTAACTGTGCAGTAGCTCGTATAATGTCTAATTACATTTACTCCAGCAAGTTTTGATTACCTCAATAAAGTCAGTCTATAATCTCTACACTGTTCGTCGTTTTTTGGGTGCGGGACGAGTTCGTGAGGATAGTCAAATAAATCTGCCAAAGCTTCGTCCTTGCTGGTCATGTATCTTCACCTCGCCACTGCCCATTTTTACTCCCGGTTCTGTTGTCGATGTAACTTCAAAGCTCTGCACTCCGTGCTGCCGCTATCTAGGCTTCTCAATCTATGGCGACCATTCAATAGCTCCATCATTGTCGAAATCGTTTGAAGCGCGGTGTTGGTGGAAAATGGGTAGGCTGCGTGACTGCCTGCGGCGCGTGGTAATGATTTGTCGCTGTCTGTACTAATGCTTTGCGGGTTAGTTTGCAATATTGATAATCAGATCGCTGGGTTCAAACCATTGACGAACTGGCCTATTTGTAACCATTCAGGTATAACACTTTGGTCACCACATTCCAACCACATTCCTTGCAATGCATTCTTTGTAGTCATTCGCCTCTTGCATTCGAACAAAGGCTTCTTGAGCTTTATTCATGTCAGTAGCATATGAAGCGATTATCTCCTTTCGATATGAGGATTAGCGGTTTATCAACTCTATCGAATATTATCAGGGAGCAAAGTAGATCGTGTATTTGCAGATTGTAACGAACTACACGTTTATAAAGGAATCGAAAATAATGGAACGCACTGAATCTAGCTGAAATTTACGCTGCTTACATATATATCTATCTTTCGAAAATGTTCTATTTTTAACAGGTATGCTGGATTCCTACTAAGATCGTAATTTGTGTATGCCCGAGAAAGGAGAGTAAATATTCTAGTAAACTGTTACCTACCGAACATTATCCATCTTATAATAGTAATTACAAATCAAATTCACATTTTATCACTTAGCTTGTACTAGTTTTAATAGTGTAGATGAGGATAATAACTGAAAAGTCGGTCAATAATAACGTGGTAACATTGTCATATTACGCAAGCACGTGGACTGGGGACTGGAAGTCTGATCAGCTGATCATTCCAGACATCAGTGAACAGTTTCACTCTATTATCTAATATAACGCGACCATATTGCTGTCTGAAAGATCACGTTCGAGAATTATAAAGACCTGAAATAATCCAGCAGACATGAGTGAAGAATGCTCGGACTCCGACGTAGAACGGCTTAAAGAAATTTTTGTAAATTTCATAATATTTATTACATGTGTGAAAAGAGTGTAGAAGGATAGACGATATTATCATTTCAAACAAACTATAATACATTTTTGATCAAACAGAGAATTGATGAAGAGCGAGCACGTGAAGTATTGAAAGTACGGGTTCAATAAACTTTCCTTAAACAGGATGCCGTATTACTCTCTAAAACAAAAATTTGCCTTTCTTTAGGAAGCCAACAATGATTTGCAGAAAGCAGCTGATCGTCTATCCGGAAGTAACGAGGTAGGTGATCGATATGTCTATTGAATCGAAATCTCAATATGAGGAATAAGTTGACTAATTTCGGATTGTTTCCCTGACAATGAATAGATGCCAGAGCTAACGAGTGCTAGTCAAACCGAGCCTTTACAAATCGGCTGGGGCTCCGCAACGGGAAACGAAAATACATGGTGTCTGTATTGAATGATCTTTATATATAGGAAGTGGTTGATAGACTCTGGTATATAATGTATAGAATTAATTTTAGCCAATATTATATGAGTTGGATGTATTTGTGTGCGTTTACAGTGAGTGCCATGATGGTTAAGAGGCTGTAAATTCAACCGTCGCCTGGTCGAACTGCCCCTATTAATATATTACTATTCAAACACGACATTAACAGCACATCAAAGTCCTTCGGGTACTGGATTCAAAGGTTCAGGCATGTATTAGGTTGGAACGATGTTATATTTGTATACAATGAACATAAAATGTTGCTAACATCGATTATTACAATTCTGATTGATTGAAACTGCGTTTTCGACCATAATCGGTCTACAGAGGATATGAATAAAGTACTTGAGGAATCAAGGTCGGCTGCTCAAAAACGAGAAGATGAAGATTTCGAAAAAGCAAAAGAACGAAGTCTTGAAGAAATGAAGACGACGCAGACTTACGATGTGTCATCAATGCAAGTTGTTCCATATTACCAGGCAAGCCATATGATCTTTTGATGTATTGCTTATTCTTACGATCTAACTGTTGGATATTCACTTGTCAGGATCATGGATCAAGTCACGACCAGGAAACCAACAAACGTCGCTGGTCATCAACATGGGATGATCCAGAAAATCCTACGGATCGTACTAGAGTAGATGATACGTATGTGTTCAAATTTCGCCAGATGCATTTTATCCTCACGTCTAATCTGAGATACGAGAAAAAGTGATACATCAAACCAACGTCTCGATTCAACCCAAAAAAGTCCACTCGGTCTCAGACCTATAGAGCGTTTATACTTTCCAACATCTGTTATTCAAGCGCTGTTCCATGTCCCAGTGTTAAGACTAGCCGTGCTAGCCTTCCGACCAACCAGAGAAGACTGGGGCGACACGACTGATTATTGGAGAGGAATGTCTTCCAGATTATCAGGCGTTGGGTATGAGTTAACTGACCATCAAGAAAATGGAAAGCGACGACGGGAATGTCTGAGATGTATGTAAGGCATTTAATTATTTGAGCATAACGCATCTTGTGTTATATATTGTATAGATAATTCGTGATGAAGATGTTTATCTTTTCAGTTATGCATGAATTGCAAAAGCTCTTCGCTTTCTTGCAATTAAGTAAACGCGCCTACGGAAGTGGATTACATGTGTACGAAGCATTGAAATTTGACGATAGCAGTTATGTGACTTCTGATGTAGTGTCAAGCGGACCTGGTTGGTATTGGATTTCAGTGCTGTTATATTGAGTTACATAACCCATCTGACAAGTATTTCAAACATTTGCAGATTTCATCAGTAAGATTCTCGAGAAAATGGTCGAGGCCTCCAAATACCAACAGCCTTTAGAAGAAGTGTCGGATATTCCAGAAGAGTGCCAACCATTTATATTACCGTTTCCCACGTATGTTTTTTTGTATTAACCGACGAATTACGTTCGTTGGAATATTGACTTGTGCTGCATTTGCGACTTGACTTTGTGCTAGGCTTCTGAAATCTCGCGCGACTGAAACAGGCTGGGCGAACGAAGAGATGTATTACGGAGGATATCAGTCGAGAGAATGTACAAATATGATATCCTTTCTTGTCCTAGTTTATTTTTGGGCCATCGCGATGTTTACATAATTTCTTAACTTTGATGCCCCTCTGAAAACGATATATCAATCTCTTCTCAGCAGAATTCCGTTTACGCAGCTCTCGACGATATAATGTTTCATGGTCACAAGAAAATCGCCTTCACCAATCTCACCAAAGTATTGTTCATAAACATAAAGAGATCCAACACAGGCTATTCATCATATGGGTGGAACGATCCTTTTCAAATTCATAAAACTATGTATATGGATCGATACATGATACATAATAGAGCAGAGGTGGAGACAATACTGGAGTCGGCTGAGCACTTGAAGAGGAATTTCGAAAGATTAGAGGCTGAAATCGACAAGATTAATAAAAGCAATGTATGAATCCAGTTCAACTTTTGTTGAGATTTATAGCCGTTATATTAACAACCGCATTATCATTTGACATTGTACAGAACTCATGTAGTGGATTAGAATTACTTCGACTATCGATTGACTATTACAGACAGAAACAAGCATCAAAGCCTCCGAATGAGCTTGACTTTAATGATGACGATGCGAAAGTGATCACATTCTTACAGGAAACTTTAAATTTCATGGAGCAACGGTTAAAAGGTAACATAAATGGATTGCTAACAACAGCCTTGTAGTACCAACTTTATCGCTTACACGCAAATTTACCGGCTAGAACTGGAGGAGAGGGTAGAAAAAATAAAGGATCAACTCGAGCATGCGTTTGACTTGGAAGAATTCCGTAAAGTTGAATATCATCTTAAAGCTGTTCTTGTTAGTGATAGTATTAGACAAGGACATACATGGGCTTACATATGGGTTCCTGCTGAGAGCATGGAGGATGATTTAATTATGGATCTTGACGAGAAGAACGGGTGTTGGTACAAATTTTGTGAAGTTGATGTTCAAAAGGTACATAAAGTGCAATATTATGAAACATTCACAGGCGTTGTATGTGCAGAGGCTAGAGAGAGAAGGTAACACTTTGTAAATATTTAGGTTACCGAAGATGTTGTGCTCTCTGCAACAACGAATACGTGGTCTGATGGCGTATACGCTCTTGTATACGCAGCAGCAGACCACGATTCCAATCACCTTAATTCCAGGTTTATGAAATCTGTTATCCCGGAATCGCTGAAGGTAAGTAATCGCTCTATTTATCTAAATATGTCAAGGTCTTTTTTCCAATTAATTGTTATTAACAAGCATGCATCCTGTCTTTTTTTCTTTTACAGAATTTCGTTGATAAAGACTCGGCAGAGTTAGACGAGGAATTACAACAATATTCGCAGAAGCTATCTGAGTACGCATTGAACATGGATAACTGGCGCCAAGATTATCCAGTCACAAGAAGTATAGGCAGAGAATATACAGACATGAGACATACATTCATGGGAGGAAGTATAGATACGAGAGAAACAGAAACTGCTGGTGCTGGTGCTGCTGTTGCTGCTTCTGCTTCGTATGCTCCGGAATTGGATCAGATACTAGAGCAAGCGAGTAATATGGAGTCTACGAACCCTGATATTCTGAAAAGGTTTGTAGGCTTCACCATTGGAGGAACTGTGTTTTAAACTGCTCGGCTAAATGAAATTTCTTCTTGTTGTATTATAACCGGTTAGATTCGAAATATTCTGTGGGAAGTTGGATAGAAGCGATATTGTTGTGAGACTTCTCAAAAACTACTTGGACACAAGTGTAAGTTTTTAACTACTTATAAACTCATTCTCATCTGCTTGTTGTCGTTATCGGTCATATTGATAATACTTTTTCTCGTTATCTAGAAACAACGCAGAGAATACACCGACCCTATTCCCTTGGATTCTCGCTATCATTCAGACGAGACGATTCAGCCATTTGTTTTAGCATACGATACGTACAAGAGGATCACTTCTTGTCTCTGTGATGGATTAAGCGAACTGGCAAACAAATATTATGAGGATGCACTCAAGATATTCATACAAGTGGCGCAATTGGATGATAAATGGTTACAGGAATATAGGGATATTATGGGGAGAGCTTATGAATTGGAGAGGGAGGCAGAAATCTTCAAATATGGAAGAGAATGTTTACTAGTAAGTACTACTGCATCACATACTAGCTTCATTTATGAATTAACCTAACACCCAAGTTTCGTAACAGCAAATGCACAAAAGATCTCGCGATCAAGTTCGTTCCCAGGGATTCGATGATGCTTTCAAAGTGATTTACTATTTTCAGCTACTTGTCAAAGATTCATGGGCAAAAGACAAACTATACCAGCAATTCCAGCATGATTGGATACGATTCCACGAAAATAACGAAAACAGTCTAGACGAGTACCAGAATTCTCAAATACAGGAACTCCTCCAGTGGTATTCCGATGGGCTGCCAGAAGACGCGTTTACTAGGTTGGATATAACTTTGAAACCAATAGATGAAGATCAACCGATCGAGGACGTAGACCGCCTTCACACAAGATACGCGAGACTTTTGAGAGAACTTGGAAATATTTAATGAAATAATAATATTATTGGGATTTGGAGAGACCAAAAGCTGTTGTATTCTAATGTTTAAATTAATTTCCCTTGTTCTAATCTGCACGTCATAAATAGCTCCCGTTCCAGATTCATTTCAGCGTTCGATCAACTTGTTTAAATAAATATCTATCCTGCGCGTATTGTTCATGACATTTGTGTTAGAAGGCCTCTCTGTCTGATATTAAAAGGACTAACCGTGAATTTTGCCAGAAACACTGCATTAGAAAATTAATTCAATGTAAAGTTATGTAATCGACTATAAATTTTGGGTTATTCCAACCAAGAAAACATTATCATTATTATATTCTATCAGCGTTGATCGACTAAATATCTGAATATTTTGTTGGACAAGAATTTATGGGAACTGAAATTCTTTGGAATAAATACATATAGTAATATTAGTATAATCGACTTTGAGTAAAAATGGTTTTAGCTGATCTTGGTCGACGTATAAACTCTGCGTTAGCGCAGATTAATAAAGAGCCTGTCATTGATGAGAAGGTATGCAATTTGATCCGAGTTTTTAGAGAAAAACTATTTAAGTTTATCAGAGGAACGATTTCAATACTGCACCAAGATCTAAACGAATGCCTTCTAACCCACCTATCTGTTAACCATAATTGCTTTTTCATGAACGTTGACGCAGGTGCTCGAGGCACTTTTGAAGGAGATTGTCTATGCATTAATGGAATCCGACGTCAATGTCAGGTTAGTTGGTAGTTTAAGAGAAAATGTGAGAAAAGCCGTCAATATACAAGAGTTGCCTGCCGGAATAAACAAGAGGAAGCTTATACAGAAGGTGAGAATCTTGTCTTTGGGGTCAGGTATGCTATTGGGAATTCGATTATGAACATATCAGAATCTAACTCGTTTTTGTTACTCCTTATGAGACCGTCTTCGATGAACTTTGCAAATTGGTTGACCCAGGCGTTGAGCCATACAAACCTAAAAAGGGAAAGACGAATATTATCATGTTTGTTGGGCTACAAGGGAGTGGCAAGACCACGACATGTACTAAGGTACAAGAGAATGGGTAATGTTTGCTAGGAATTTGTGGAAAGATTGTCAAGTGCATTGATCATGCATAATAGTTACGAATCCATTATCTCTTCCGCAACATCAGCTAGCATATCATTATCAACGTAAAGGCTGGAAGACATGTCTTGTCTGCGCAGATACGTTTCGTGCTGGTGCATTCGATCAGTTGAAGCAGAACGCCACTAAAGCAAAAATACCATACTATGGGAGGTTAGTGGTAGTTCTACTTATTCTGTTGCGACGATGTTTTCTTTGCAATTGAGTGTGTAAAGAGGTATTTACAGATGATGTTTTGTATGATAACAGTTATACGGAAACGGATCCCGTTCAGATTGCACATGAGGGAGTTGAGAAATTCAAAAAAGAAAGTTTTGAGATCATTATTGTGGATACGTCGGGAAGACATAAGCAGGAAGCCGAGTTGTTTGAAGAAATGAAGCAGATATCAGCCGTTGTTGTAAGTAGAGGAAAACCGAGAGGGCTAGATTTGAGACATTTATTAAAGAGGATAGGAGATAATATTATTAGCAAAGTTGTAATAAATTTTCTGAGTTGTTATAAAATTAATTTCTTTGGTTCTATTATTGTTTTCTCTTGTAGAATCCTGATAATACTATATTTGTCATGGATGCTACTATTGGACAAGCAGCCGAACTACAAGCAAAAGCTTTTCACGAGGCTGCTGATATTGGATCAATTATTATAACAAAGATGGATGGACATGCGAGGGGTGGTGGTGCTATTTCAGCGTGAGTTTTTAGAAGGTATATTCGATTGGTTGATTCTTTGTTATTAATTGCTCACCGTTCTATATTTCTTCTAAAATTGTTAGAGTTGCAGCAACACGCAGTCCAATTGTATTTATTGGTACAGGAGAACATATTCATGATTTAGAACGATTCTCAGCAAGACCGTTCGTGTCCAAGATGCTAGGTTTGTAGCCTCAGATCGCGTAGACTGGGCTTTTTTTTTTACCGGACTGTTCTCACACACCCCTCATTCATTATTCAATAGGAATGGGAGATATTTCTGGGTTAATGGAGACAGTTCAGGACCTGAAATTGGACCAGAACAAGAATTTAATGAAGAACCTGGAACAGGGTGCGTATTTTTAATGGACCTACAAAGTCATACGCAACAGATTATTGTGAGACCGGCTCATTCACATTTACCATGAACAATTAGGTATTTTTACCATAAGAGACATGTATGAACAGTTCCAGAATATTTCGAAAATGGGACCGTTGTCCAAGATGATGCAGATGATGCCTGGAATGTCTGAACTTAATTTTGAAGGCTCAGACGAACTTGGTGCCCAGAGAATAAAGAGGTATGTTGAATATAAACAATGATTTGGTTTTATTACAATTACACAAAAGGTTTATATAAACAATTAATATTGCAATTATTTTGCCGGGCATTAGATTAATGACCATAATGGATAGTATGAGCAATGCGGAACTTGACTCTGATGGCAAGATCTTCATACATCAACCGGTAAGAATTGTACGCGTGGCGCGTGGGTCAGGCACCACCGTTCGTGAGGTCGAGGAACTCCTCATGCAGCACAAAGGATTTCAGAATATGGTGAAGAAGTTTGGTGGCAATAAAAACCTTTTCAAGGGTAGGTATAATGATAAATTCTTTACTTTTTTTTTTGGTCAAAATTATGATAATAACAAATTTGCATTATCGTAGGAATGGGCCAGAATATGGACCCGTCAAAGATGTCACCTCAACAGATTCAACAGAAAATGGCAGCAATGAATAAGGTGATTATATGCAGGTTTAATTCGCGATTATCGCTCGTTGCTTATTCCTGTTCATATCTCGATAGATGCTTCCGCGCGGTATGCCTGGAATGAACAATATCATGAGATCAATGGTAAGTCACTAATTAACCAGTAATCATGTGGTGATGTTAAGGATAAGAGTCGAAGAATGTTGTATATTTGTCTGTGCTTTTTATTAGATATGTTATATCCTAACACTTGACGTATTTGTAGATGGGCGGAGGCCTTCCTGGAATGGGAGCACAGGGAATGCCAGATATGGCCCAGATGCAAAATATGATGAAACAAATGGGCCTTAACTTACCGGGTATGGGAGGCGGAAGAAGAGGATGAACGAGGAATATTGATTGTCAATAATAACGATAGAGAAAAGGAGGATACATATGTATATGACCAGAGGATTGCGACCCGATAGTATTTAACTGATTTGTCTGTCTATAATAGTTGGATTCGGAAGTGCTCTTGTACAATATTGCAGTCAGAATTCTACACTATTTCCAGCATTAATAATAATAGATTCTGTTTCATTTTAATCAAAAGTACTGGCCACTTTTCTACAATCTAAGCCAAGGGTTGACCGACTACGCTACTAAAATAGTAATACATATAATGTGAGACGACTTGTCGGAAGACCTTACAGCTTATCGCGATTTCGATCAACTTATCGAGCACGTAATTTTTGTAACTTATACACTTGCTACAAGAAAAGCGTGTATTTTTCTGGTACACAATTAACCCAAACATCGAAGTGGTTCTGTTTGTAAATTAACGGCGAGGCCTACAAGTTCCGGGAAAAAATATATATTGGCGGTGTTTTTCAATACAATTTTCAATAGAATTTTAATGTTCACAATAACGTATTCATAATTCCATAAAAATTACCCAATAATTTTTTTTTTCATATGCACGAAAAGCAAGTTTTTGTTTCAGCCAAATGCATGGTATAAAAAGAACTTAATTGACTAGCTCTAATTGCAAGTAGGGTAGCTTTTGTTATTAACTAGTTCACTTGCTAAATTTTTAATCTAACCAGCATTGAGACATAATTAATATTATACATTTTTTAAAAACGAAATTTTATAAATAGATTACGTTGAACGACCAAAATTACAAGCTTGCCCATATTTAATTTATTTCTCTGAAATAATATCTTACAAATCATGGACAGAACAATTGTAATAATATGAAAGCAATAGCAATTATGGTTGAGGATTGATAATATAAGATTTTACCAAAACAAAGTCGAATTAATGTTTAAACAAGGCAGCACTGTACGGAGGCTTTTAAATGGGTTGTTATTGCTATTTATTTGTTATAGCAGCGCCACATCATTTATTCCATTTGCAGATAGAATCATCGGAAATTGACATTCGAGTCATAAGACGTGTTTTAATGTAGAACTTTATTGCCTAACTACAAACAAGTACTATAGTATATTGTAAGTGAGAAGAGCTAAATCGTTGAATAAACTGACATTAAGTTTGTTCAAAAAGTGTTTGGGTCGCTGAATTATAGGGCATTGGAGACGATGTTAATATTGCAAATTGACTTTGTTATATCAACACATAATATTTCTTGTCTTCATACCTGCAGCTGAATCCAAATCATAACTATCTCTCGGTTTAGGCAAATCTCCAGTAGGTATAAGTTTCCTAGAATATTTATTCTCCTCCTCAAGGCGTGATAAAGGTTTTATAGATAGTATCCCATATACCGTTGCCAGGAATTAATATCCTTTTTCGCCTCTTCAATAACGTTATAAACATACGTCGCAAGTGTAAATGCACGTGGACGCTTGTCAGAATCAGCATCACAGCAATTTTTTTATACAGTCAACTGCCGATAATTCGACTTTCCAGTAATTCGATCGTCTTGAGCAAGACCCGATTTTTTCTTCCTTTTATTCGATCAAACTTATAAATTTTCGATAATTCGACCGCTTAAATAATTTCTATTATTAAGCAAGTGCATATATAATTACGCCCGTTAATTCAAATCATTTTCATTTAAGGGAATTGGTTGATTTCTGCCGATTATTCAACCCGTTGCATTGTTTATCCGACCGACATTAAAATTTCCGATCGGAAAAAAAAAAGCCTTATCGTTATGTTACGTTGAGTGCCGAAAAGAAGCAAGAGATATGTCAGTGAAAAGCTAAAAAAAAAAACAACCCTCGATTATCTGACTTGGAATTAGCTAAAGAATATCGTGTAGGAAAAACAACCGTACAGAATATTATAATCCAATCAGAAATATCGATATAATAAACCTCATGCTAAACGATTAAGAATCGAAGGCCAAAATGGCAAACGTTGGAAGAAACAACAATCTATTACACGTTTTTTATGTTAAGTTTTACCCTCTGAGTAGTAAACAGTTCAATTAAGAATATGAGATCTTTTTTTGGACGAACTGAATCTTACTTCTCCGGTAACATTCTTTGATCCTTCTATTTGTCTAAAAGCATTCCGCGACCATTACTTCGTAAAAATGTTGAAATAAATTCTGTGTCACATTAAGTACGTCTGATTGGATATTCGTTGACTGGTCCATACAAACATCACTTACTAAGTATCTATCGAACTCCCTATCTCTCAAATATATAATATTGGCAAGAGAGTATATGTCTGATTTATAAACCGCCTCGAATGGGTAATTCGCATGGAATTCAACAAGAGACCAAAATCGCATATGATGGTTCAAAATCTTTTACTATATTTCCACCGTGAAGATCACAATGCACAACTGATAATCCTTAAACGGTGTAATTTCAGTAACTATTGATAAAAATAAATACAGAGCCAGATTGAATGTCATTTTAATTAATACAATCAAAGATTGCTTACTTCGTTGATAAACTCCAACATGTGTACCCTCCCTCATGAGATGTTCTGTATTTTTCTGTTAGTATTGATTTGAAAGTACATAGATACACGCTTAGCATAATGTTATGATGCAATTTATCATTATGATCAATACATACATATGTTAAGTCAGTTACATTGTCAATATGAATATGTCAATATTATTTCGCGTCGTGTCACACTTTTTTTTTCCAATCAGCAATTGTGTGTCGGGCAGATGCACCCTGATTAGTACGGCCTACCCCCCTTACAGGAGTATCCCGGGTACAGTTTTACGGTAATATGTTATTACTATAGTCGTAATTACAAAGAAAAAGTTTATATAAATGCAACTTCAGATGCCTCACTCATAACAACGTTGTTACAAAGCTTTTTTATTTTTTCAACTTATTTCCTAAACACTGATTATTCTTTCGACAGACTTTTTTTTTTTTTTAATACGACAAAAATGAACCGTTATATTTGTTCTTTTTTCATCTTGGGTCTTTTGATTCTTATCACCTCTGGTGTCTATGCTGACTGTAGTCCCTCTCCAAACTGTGGCTGCCCGTCTACACTTTCCTGTAAATGTCCTTCGACGGACACCGGTGGTCTATTTTGTGGGTCTGAATTGAGTAAGTAACAATTTGCTTTTTTTTAAACCGATTCTGTGCTTTAAGCAAACCACGTACAATTTTTAACACAATTTTGTTTTCAACGCTCTATTTAACAATACAGCTTGTACTGGAAGCATTGAAGCTACTCTTGGTCTTAGCGACATTTGGCAATGTTCACCTGGTGGTGGCCTCAATTGTCGTTTTGGTCCTTGCAATATTGGCTGTTGTTCAGTAGAGAATCAAGATAGCTTCTGTTGCCTGAAAGCCGGTTGTGCTGATTGCACGGGCACTGCTGTCTTAGCGCAAGGTGGTATTTAAACTTCTTGTTTGTTGCACGGAGAAAGATCAGACAAAGTTTAATTTGAATCAAGTAAATTTGCAATATTCATATAACTTTTCAAAGCAATTATTGTAAATTTCAAGCGTTATCATAAGTGAAGCTTATTTTGAAAGCGACATATTAATGTCAATAAATTCACGTTGCTATTAATTTTTGCGGCGAATCAAGAGTTAAACAAAACGACTTTTCAAAGAATTAGTTCTTCTTCTTCTTGGTTCATATGTTAGAGCTTATGTTTTAATTCTGCAGAACGTTAGTTATCCAATTAGAAAGCAGCGAAACAAACAAGAAACACAAATAAATTGCTTTTTACATCACTTTGGTTATGATGAGCCGATGTGCTACGTTACCAATAAAGTCGCAGCGTCTAAAAAATAACAAACCATTTTTTACGAAATTCAAAATATGATGATATACACAGTTAATTATGCTGTTGTTTAAACTATATATTGCGAATGAGCTTGGTAATTTATTATTTATAGACCAAGTATATCATGCTTATGGCCATTTGTTATCTTCCGTTTGATGTATTCTGACAAAGAGATTACAAGTAGACAAATTGATTGTACTTGGAGTTAATTGTATTGATTGTACAAAATAACAATCGATTTTATGCTGGCTGGTTGGTGGCTTACAACTACTAGGAAATTCCTAGATTTTTAAAATATGCGGCATTATGTATTATGACAAAGAGAACATCTTAATACGGAATTCAGTTGTAACGTAAATAACAAGCAAAATACAATTCCACTACAAATTATTATTATCGGAAACAGTCTGATGGGTTTAAACCAAAATTTTTTTCAAGTCTAGCTCGTCTTTTCTCACCAAGTAATTACGAAGAGTCCAATGCCATATCTCTCCACATTTTTGTATAACATTTTTAATCCAACACTCTGTTTTTACCATTTAACTACGTTTAATCACATAAGGTGACTGAAATTTTCCAAGTTCGGGCCATTACCAACCTCATGCTATTCACAGATTTGAAGGTATGATATAGTTGAAAAACTTTTTCATTATTTGATTGTACACACGATTCAATTTACGGAATACAGCATACCCTCTCTAATATCAACCCCACAATATCAACGCCTCTCTATTACCAACATTGGTTTACAGAATGGATTGGATTGTCCCTTATAAATTCTCGACTTGAATATCATACCCGTTGATTTCACTGCCAACATAATCAGATTTTGTTCTTAATAACAATACGTATACCATCAGACGACTTTCTCAAACAAAGTGTTTGACTGCTGAATTGCAATAAGACTATGGAGCGACAGAACTGCAGCGAAACAGGTAGTTTTACGTATTTTCATTCTCCTTTCCGTTTCGCTACTATATAATACTTTTAGTAACCATAAAAATTCTTATTACAGTATTAGAAAGGCTAGTACCTGACAAGCAAATGTCTACTCTTAGTTAACGATAACAGTTAGAGATATTCATTTGTTGTCAATTCTAACCAATTATAGAACCAGTTCATATCCTTGATCAGTAGGCTCTATTGATAAAGGTTCTTTTTGCTGATCATACAAACCAACTCGAATAAATCTTACCTGTATATGTACGTTTGCTCAAGTTTGTTTTTGCTTTCCTTCCCGTCCTATTCCTAATTCAATATTCGCCGACGGGAAATACCAATACTAATATAAAACCTCTTATACTCACTATCTTCTAATGTCCCGCGTTCTACAATTCAAGTGAACCACAAATAAAGATGTCTTTTATAATACTGCCCATACTGTACTGATAATAGTTCTTTACCTACCAACTCTTACCAAATGAATATTTCATGTAAACCCGCAATGCAAACGACATACTTAAGTTTTTCTGTTGCAACATTGATATACTAACTATAATAATAAAAACCATAATGTTAAGGCTTTATTTAGCCGACTCAGATATTTGTTAGTCATGTAAAAATCGACAAATTTATTAGTTATGTAAACGGTTGTTCCGCACATATTTGAATATACAGTCGATGATAAAATTTCCGTCTAGAGAATACTTACGTTTAGCCTTCGGACATGCTAGCAATCAGGGGGTCAGGTAGATTTAGATGCACAGATTCATCGTGATTGGAAACTGTCTTCAATAAGGAATAATTACTAATCGCAGTATTGTGTCATTGATCTGCAGAACTTTTAAATAAGACCAGGTCTCCCTTAATATCATTAATCTGGATCAGGTAAAATAATAAAGTGGAAAACTTCGACAACGATTATGTCAGCTGTAAAGAAGACAATAATGATAAATGATGACATAATCGTATCTGCTGAAACCTACCCCTTATTAACTGTCGCTTTATCAACTGCGATCTAAAATGATTGAAATCTTGTAAAACCTGATATATAAAATGCATCGTCTAAATCTGGCGTATTACTGCGCATTGTTCAACTTCAAACAAACTGCTTCCAAATTAGGTTAGTATTTTCATGGTAGTTTATTATTATTATTTAGCCGTTTCGACATTCCCAAAGTGGGACCGTTTTGATTATGGTAGCCAATGTCATTATATTACTGACAACGTTCCGTATTTCTAATCAAGTCTGCGAAAGTAAATTTCTAGAAACTTTTTTGGGGTCGACAAACGCATATTGTTTACGGAGGCCATGACGCTTCATCTTATTAAAGATAATGTTGCTCATTACGTCAATACTATTCGTTTTTGGTTCAATAAAAAAGATATCTGCGACGTATCAGCATCTAGTAGGGTTTTCGTTTATTGTAGACAATCCATCAGCGCGTTGACATGATCATTTAAAAATTACCTTGCTGTGCCGGCATAGACATATTACTATAGTTGTAATTACAAAGAGAAAAAGTTCATATAAATGCAACTTCAGATGCCGAACTCACAACCAACATTGTTACACAACTTTTCTATCTTTTCTAAACATGCCAATTATTCTTTCGACTGACTTTTTTTAATTGCGGGACAAAGTGAACCGTTCCATTGCTCTTTTTTCATCCTGGGTCTTTTGATTTTTATCACCTCTGGTGTCTATGCTGCATGTATTCTCGGTGCAAACTGAGCGCTTTAACACTGGTGGTAAATTTTGTGGGTTTGAATTGAGTAAGTGACAAAATATGATCTTTTTGGGGGAACCTGGTTTCACAATATGGCGAGGTTAAATTTTTAATACAGTCCTGGCCTAAATCCAATAGAGAATCTCTTGAGTATTGTTAAAAAAAAAAATGTAGAAAAGAGAATGCCGAAAAAATTAGCGATTTGCGGCGCGTTTTATGATGATGATATTCCAACCCTAGTTGGTCAATGAAATGCCGATGGAGCTTGTCATAGAAAGTAACGGTGAACGCATTCCACACCAATTTTTTTTAAATAAAATCTGCTGGTTTTCAGCTTTCAAATGGCATAAAATTCATCTTACTTGCACCTTGCGTAATGTGTAATTCCGGACCACACTGTAAATGGTACTATAGTCGTAGAAAAAGTTTATATACACAGTGGCTCTCTTTATAGTGTACCTCCTTTATAGTGGAGACTAATTAAAATCGCGATATAGTGGATAAAGGTTCAAAACCATCTATAATGAATGCTATCCGATATAGTGTATTTACTAATAAATTTTCAATAACTCTCGATATAGTGTATTTTTGAGAATTTTTTACTAGTAGATTTTTTTGATACACTATAAAGAGAGTCACTGTGTATATATGTTACTATAATCGTAATTACAAAAAAAAAGTTTATATAAATGCAACTTCAGATGCTCACTCATAACTAACGTTGATACAAAGCTTTTCTATTTTTTCAACTTATTTCCTAAACACTGATTATTCTTTCGACAGACTTTTTTTTTTAATACGACAAAAATGAACCGTTATATTTGTTCTTTTTTCATCTTGGGTCTTTTGATTTTTATCACCTCTGGTGTCTACGCTAACTGTAGTCCCTCCCAAAACTGTGGCTGCCCATCTACAGTTTCCTGTGAATGTCCTTCGACGGACACCGGTGGTCTATTTTGTGGGTGGGAAATGGGTAAGTAACAAAATGCTTTTTTTAAAACCGATTTCTATGCTTTAAGCAAACCACGTACTATTTTTTTTAACACAATTTTGTTTTCAATGCTCTATTTAATAATACAGGCTGTTTTGGAAGCATTGAAACTACTCTTGGTCTTAGCGACATTTGGCAATGTTCACCTGGTGGTGGCCTCAATTGTCGTTTTGGTCCTTGCAATATTGGCTGTTGTTCAGTAGAGGGTCAAGATAGCTTCTGTTGCCTGGAGGCCGGTTGTGCTGATTGCACGGGCACTGGTGTCTTAGCGCAAGGTGGTATTTAAACTTCTTGTTTGCATTCTTGGTGTCCTGTTGCACGGAGAAAGATCAGACAATGTTTAATTTGAATCAGTAAATTTGCAATATTTATATAACTTTTCAATCGACATTTTAAGCTTTTTATTCCCAATTATTGTAAATTTCAAGCGTTATCATAAATGAGGCTTATTTTGAAAAGCATATATTAATGTCAATAAATTCACGTTGCTATCACTATTATTTAATTTTTGCGGCGAATCAGGAGTAAAGCAAAATAACTTTCCAAAAGAATTAGTTCTTCTTCTTGGTTCATATCTTAGAGCTTATGAACGTTAGTTATCCAATTAAAAAGCAGCGAAACAAGCATGAAACAAATGAATTGCTTTTTACATCACTTTGTTAATGTTTTGTTATGATGAGCCGATGTGCTACGTTACGATTTGGGCATGAATAAAAGTCGGCTTGCGTCTAAAAAAAGTTAAATTTTAGGTCAAGATGACGCTGATCAACTCATTTTTTACGGAATTCAAAATATGATGATATTTCTGCTGTTTGCTTAAAACTATAAAAAATGTATATATTGCGAATGAACTTGGTAGTTTATAGACCAAGTATATCGTGTTTATGGTCATTTGTTATCCTCTGTTTGATGTATTCTGACAATAAACTTTGACTGACGGCGTCCAGA